TCAAAATGTCAGTTAGGTTAAAATTAATCTCTAACTACGCAATCTTTCAACGATTGACTTTATAATGGAGATTATCAAGTTCAAATACCAATATGTTTTCTAAGCACATATTCTATATGCTTGGTTTATTCTCACTCAATGGTCTAACCAAACAAAACTTTGAAAATCATTTAGTTAAGTCAAAAAAGATCTCGTAACTCAGTTAGATACTTTTCTATTAAGATCATCTGCAATATTCGTTTTAAATTTTCAAATTGCATGTTTATATACTCTTTGCTATTACCGAAATATTGGTGGACCCATTAAATTGATTATTTTACGTAATGCACTCATTAGTAGTCATAAAAATATTTTCAAAGTTACATTCATCAACTTTATTAGGAACTTTGTTATGACTTATACTTTGTATTTAGGTAGAGCTATAAATAGGTCTTCAATACAAGTTTTCTATTTGTAGTTAATTCAACTGTGAACATCCTCTATTCATACGCATTAATGTTGATTTCTCTTCTCTTTGCTATTACCGAATGATTGACCAAATCATTGATGATTCGTTTAGATTTAGTTTTTATTTCCTAAAATGCTCTTAATATCTTCCGTTTCAATTTTCTTATCGAATCAAACTATTCTTGAAAGTTCTATATATCGAATTGCAATTTCTCAATCGCTTCAACCATGAAACGCTTCGTTAACTTTACATTATTGTTCTTCAAAAACAATACCGTGTTGATTAAACTTTTCTTTGTTTAGATTTACATCTGTTTTGCTATATTCAACTATTGTTCGTATATCAGGACTATTGTTATCCTTCGTGTTATTATTGTCGTCAAAATTAGTATTGTTGTCTTCTTAAGAATTTATTTATAGGTTCAAATATGCGTCTGCTTTATCGTTGACTTTCTATTGAAAATAAATTTATTATTGCTTTAAGGGTTGCGGATAAGATTCCGTAATTTGTAAAGGCTTAAGTGTAAAAGTAATATAACATTATACACAACTTATTCCCAACCATTGTTATATTCACGACACATGCAAAATTTAGGCACGTACCAATAGAAAATACTTCTAGCAAATATTTTACTAGCCCATGCAATCAAAAAGAAGCCTAAACCGAACCGTATTATTTGAAAGTGTTGATGAAAAGCAAGCTCCGTGGTAGACTTTATTTACTCGTTGTTAAGGTACATAATAAAATGACAAGACATCACTACACATCACCCACATGCACTTCACATCGAGAAAAGGAAATAACGGAGATAGAGAAAAAATAACCCGCACGGTATATCTATGTTTCTTGATAATTACGTCCACTCCACAGAATCACTATGGGAAGTTTCACAAACACTTGGGATGCCAAGCAAAAACTACACTTGGATAGATAGATTGAGTGCCTACAGGTGTCGGAGCTGGTATAAATAGATGTCATATAAAACCAATCACAAAAACTAGAAGCAATCACGTAAGAACTCAACATGACACCAAACATTTCGTTCTAAAACGTATTCTAGTTAACAGAAGCTTGATTTTCGTCTTGTGTTGTTTATGTAAAAATGCGTGTTGTTTTAATTAATACATCAGCATAAATAATAAATTTTGGTTCAATAAATAATATGAAATCAATCACTTGACACACACTAGCTGAAATATTGATAAAAAAAATCCAATTAAACTTTGTCATTATCACAATCGCCTAATTTAGTAATTTCTTTAAATGAAGCGTGTTAAGAAATACTAAATATAGGTTTCAACAATCACAAAACACTTGTAACATTAAAAGCTGTCGAAATTAGGTATTACTACCGAAGGTCAATAAAATTGAATCGATAAATTGTATACTTTTTAAATCTCATTATGTCCACTTTATCAGTGATATTTAAGTGGAGGTCAGGCTACTTGCAAAACAGGTATAACTCGTCTATTATTGGTCTTAATACCTTATTTTCTTAAGCTTTCTGCAATTTTTGATATCACGAACTTCAAAATCGTACTTGTTGTTAATAATATAAAACACAAATTAAACAATACTCATATAAAAATCACCACTAAACTTTCCACTTCACTCAAATATTTTAGTTATCAACAACAGACGAAATCTAAATAAACGTTGATATACGAACGTAGTAAATAAATATGCAAAAGCTTCAGGTAAAGCTAAGAACACAGATATTGTTAAAATAAAGGATAATGTCAACCTCAAGCTAACAACGAATGCAAGACAAGGAATAAAATGAAGTGCTCGAGAAACTAGTTCTTACGACACACAACATAAAATCGTGATCAGCGCAACCTAACATTCACTGGGGTAACCGTCTCAACGAATGCTACAAAACGTGAATAATTAGTGACGTATACGCAAGGACCTGCCTGCCTAAGTAGGTAGGTACTATTTCTGAATTGTGAGCCAAATTAGCCAACGTACAAACTGTGTGCACAGTGCAACAAACCCAAGCAACGCGACGGTCTATTGGCAGTCTCGCAAACCCGTATGCAATTCAAGTGAAAACGTTCTAAGTACCAAAAGCGTATGCACAATTTTGTGTTAGAGTATGATAGAGATAAGGTACATTGTTATTTAACCAAGCGATGGGTTCTATTAACAACGATGGTCCCGATAGTGTGATAATTAAAACTTGAAATCTGTACAATTGTTGCAGCTGATTACACAAGAGGCAATGTAGCTATTCTCTTAGTAATTTTGTCTTTAAATGAGCGCGTAATTTATGACACAAAATACAAAAGCACGTCAAATATTTTAATAATTCAGTAGCAAGATACCAGCCATATTTGGATAATGAATTTCTTAAATGTGTTTGTTCGATGATGTTTGTAATTAAGTTGTTAACACTACTGAAAGTTAATAATTGCGCTATGGGTAGGTAGATGCTGAATGCTATGCTCATAGCCGAGAATCGAAAAATCATCATACAAATTACGCGATGCCCTCAAATTGTAATTGAGGAAAACACTAAGTGCAAAATTAATTAGGTTACCACATCCTCGTTCTGGTTAATAACAAACACATAGGTATGTATAAATAAATATTATAATCACCTACGACGATAATAATAATAACAACGAATAATATTTACAATACATATGTAAATAAGTTCCATTTACCTAATTAAATCTTCGGAAAATTCCAGTACAAACAATTTATAATATAAAATTATCCTACCTAACGTACGTAAATTGTGATAATTATAAAATAAGACGAATGTATCTTAAAATTAATTAAATAATCGGAGACAATAACGCAAAAAAATACGTAAACATAATTTTCGAGACCACATGAAAATATACAGGGTAAACGAATCGTTTACCCTATTTTTATAATCCGCAGTTCTATCTCAAATTACAAAAAAAATAAGTTTCCTATAAATTTTTAAGAATAACTTGTTACATACTTTTTGCTTATGATCAAAAAACTAACAGCAATTTTTTTTCTTTTATAAGTATACATTTTTCACTAAATAACTCCCATTTGTTGAACTATCTGTAGATCCGAACACTAACACTATTTCTGAATACCTACGCCTACACGGCATGTACTTAAAGTTTGAATTTTTTATGTAAAAAATATATTTTGGTAATTCCGTTACCGATAACATTGTCAATCTGATCATATTATTATTAATTAATGAAATATATCTCGTTATCTAGATAGTGTAGGACGGTCTTACTTTATAGAAACATTTTTAATATTTGAAAAGATCAGAATAGCAACCATACCAAAAATGTTGACTAGATAAACTAGAAGCTTATCTAGTAATCTTTACTTAAAAAAATTGTTTTTGGAAAAACCAATACTTTATCGCTTGTTTCTTTTATTAACATAGGAAACGCAAATCCGTGTGATATTTTATCTAATCTTAATTTGGAATAACCGCAAAAAAATCCAATTGTTTTTCAATTATAACCCTAAAAAGAATTCGCTCCGTACTTGGAAAATAAATTTAAAAAAAAATAGTTTCAATTTTCTTGCCAGAAAATCTAATTATTTATTAGATATTTACTTTTGCAATTGACGTAAAATATAATCTTCAAAAATAAAAGTATTTGATCGTTTCTATATCTCATCCTAATTTCGGATATCTATTAAATGTGTAAGTACGCACGTATGAGACACGTTACCAAATTCTAAAACACGAAAATCCCGAAAATTTTGAACCATATAATATCTGAAAATTAGCTGTACTTTAAGTTTAAAATCCAATATCACTCCCTATAACACATCACTACACAAGTCTAGAAGTCTAGAATATCGATTGCCGCATGACGAAGGGCGGTGCCCCATCCTGACCTGCGCAATTTAGTGTCTGGACGCGCTACAGATGGCGCAGTAAGCGTTGACGTCATCTTTTATCCGCAGAACAGCTGTTTAATGGAAAAATACTAACAATACCTATGACATAGCATTGATAGAATTTTTACAAAGATTAAACGTAAATGTTTGCAAGAAATATCAAGTCCTAACGTAACCAATTTTGGTTAGATCGACTTATATGGCTCTACGTGGCTCTACCTAGGTCATACCGCAGACAACCTAGCCTAGTCTTACCTATTCAGGTATTTTTTCCTCTTCGCTTAGTTTTCCTTTACGAGACTTAGCTCATATTTCCGAATAATATTTTTTTATAGAATAACGCAAATTATTGACCCTATATACCGTAAGTTTAACACTAGAAAGACCAGAGTGGTCAAATGACCCCAATGAAGTCTTTGATCAATCATAATAACAAAACCATAACAATGAAGTCAGTGTCGTTTTATGACTTTTAATATTTCGTCATTGTTTACATTATTCTGATATGTGTATATCAATAGTTAGATAAATACAAATTAAAAATTATCACCTACCTAGAAAGACCGAAGTGGTCATTTGACACCAATGTATGCGTGCTTTGTATTATTTCGTTGAATATCCTCTTGTTGTGGGTACTTGAAATAAAATATTTCATTTCTTTATTGTTTTGTTCTTGTAAAGACGTATATATCACGGCTCGCCATAATATATTATTATAATGCCTAATTATTATCGTTCCCTTTCGCTTTCTAAAATATTGGAAGTGCTGCAAAATTTACCGGACGACCAATCAGATTGTGAAGCGACTAAAGAAGAGAGGCATATTTTGCATTTAGACTCAGGAAGTGAAGAAAGCGATTACAATATTACACAAAATAGTGATTCTTCCAGCGATGATGACCACACTTATAGCGATTCTGATGGTAGGTGTATATTATTTTATGTATTGATGTAAATAAAATAAGAATTTTCATATTGAGAGAAAAGGCAATCTTTTATTATATTAGCGTTTACTCCACTGTTTCAGATTCAGTACCTCTCTCGACTTTACGTAGTGCAAACCTAAGAAGAGGAAGAGGTCGAGGTCGAGGTCGCGGTCGGAGTCGAGGGCATCGTGGCCGAGGTACCAGAATACATACTGAAATTATTCACCACAACACTGATGTCGAGGTATCTTCTACCGGTATAAGTTGGACTCCTGGAAACTTATCAGTTTTGAATCAGCCTGGTTGTCGTCCACGACAGAATATTCTAACAGAGGAAGCTGGACCAACTTCTTTTGCAAAAAGGTGTTATAAAGGAGGTATTTTATCTGCATGGATTCTAAGTTCACTTAACTCTAATGTATTTGTTGATCCAGAAGAAGCAAAAAAGAAACCGAACACGGTGAAGTTTTACAATACTACGAAATTTGGAGTAGACGTTATTGATCAAATGGCCAAAAAATATAGTGTCAAAGCACCTTCTCGTCGTTGGCCCGTGCAAGTGTTTTATAATATTTTGGATTTGGCAGCAATTAATTCTTGGATTTTGTACAAAAAACTATCCCAGAAAAAAATCAGTAGAAAAAAGTACATTCTTGACTTGGCAAGGGAGTTAGTCGGCCAAGATACCCACTCCCTGATAACACCATCTACTTTACAGCCTGATAATAGCATACCCCCAGAGCCTCTAGAAGAACGTAGTGGAAAGAGGAAACGGTGTTACGTACAAAAATGCAAAAACAAAACCCATAAATCTTGTGTTAGTTGTAAAAAAATTGTGTGGCTCTTGTAATGTAAACAAGGAGCTAAAATGTCAAAAATGTGCCTAATTTTTTTATTTTTTTATCAATAAATAGATGTTTAATTACTATTAAGTTATTTTATTCATTATTGGATGCTAATCAATAAAACTTAAACCATAATACACGAATAAAACATTACAACCCATGAAGGTGTCATTTGACCCCACTTGGTCTTTATAGGTAGTTCGAAATTCCGGTCTTTCTAGTGTTAAGATAAGTAAAGTAAGTAGGTACCTATATTTCGGCATTTCAGAGTTCCGTTCCAATTTCCACGTTAATATAATTTTCCTACAAATAAATATATTTACCTACGCAACCATTATGGATAATTTACGAAAATTACGAAAAATTACGAAAGTATTTTTTTTGTGTTCGTCGTCAGTAACTAAGCCTAAGAATATCAGCAATAATCAAACTAGGTTTTTTCCGATATTTTATCATATAGGAAGGTAAGTAATGCCTAGGGTACCTATTTCCGTAAGCACTAACGAACGAAACCATATTCCAAAATTGTGTTTCTAAGTATAAAAATATATTACTGAAAATTATGGAAAATTCCCATTTCCTATATGAACAGATGTTTTAAAATCAGCTGGAACATAATGTTTGCTGATAAGAGATTAAATAAATGTTCACAATAAACAAACGAAGTGAAGGTCAAATAAGACGCCATTTTGGTCACGTATGTCGGCAAATATAAAACACCGGTTTTAAATGATCCTGCACCGAAATACACAGAGTAAGAGGCTAAAAAGACACTAAACACGCAAAAAATAAATTCAAAGCGAATAATCAAAAAGTAATGACAGTTTTGGAAACTTAAAAGTCTAACACAACCACATCATGGCGTTCTGTGACGCAATTACAAAGAAATTCAAATTTTGCCAATAGTATACAAAAATTTACGAAATAAAAACAAAAATATAATAAAGTAATACCTTACCTTACATCTTATTCCTTAAAAAAACGTCTTCCCCTGCTTTATACAATCAAAATTAAGAGGATCTACGCAGTACTCGTCAACCGGGCGATGACTCCGCCATTTTATGCGCTAACGGGACTTGCCACCTCTTTAGCTATACTCCGTATATTATACATTTTTAAAACTATTTTGTTACTTGGTATGAGCCTACATTTCAAAGGGCCTGACTGGTCCTACCACTACTCAATCCTAAAATACATGGTAATAACCGAACCTCACCACTAGACTTGGAAAAGGTATCTCAAAGAATCCCCCCCGCGTTTCAGTTTATATAGCCATTGCGTCAGATGCAGTCCCCTCAACCCACTTTATTATACGGACGAATTCAAAAGGTCTGATAACACAACAACCGGTTGGAGAAACAAATATACCTCTCTCAACGGTCGGGTAACCGTTCTAGAATGTTCTTTGCCGCAGTGTAAGAGACAGAGCTATAAGAAAGAACGTGATGGCGATAATGTATTGAATTTATTTTCTAGAATAATCGTCCGCAAAACCTTGACGTATGAAAGAGACCGAACATATATTTTGCGAGACAACAATATAATTTAGAATGTTCTAGAATCGATAAAAGTAGACAGTGCGGCCAGTAACTGCACATGATTTTCCCCAGTGGAATATTTTCCACCGCCACGCCTTATAATTCAAAATGAAAGCAATTAATTAGAATTTTAACAAATAATTGTATTGTAAACTGAACAAAACAATAGCTTTATAAAAATAATTTCTAAACTGCAGCTTATTCACTCTCATTTCAATCGGAATTAATACTTTCCTTATTTCGGAACACAAATTAAGCTAAATAGTACCAGTAACTAATTATTCATCCACCTTATGATGGCATTAGCTTTATTTGGATTTTATAGGAGTTATCCTATTAAACTGTCAAATACCAAGCGGTCACCGGTGACCGCAACCTATTGTTCTATAATTGTGTCTGCAAAACCGGTACTCGACGAGTTAACTTATAATTAACAGGACTCTGAGTGTCTCTAAGGTTAATGCACTTAACTTCAATTAACTAACAACTGTAAGACCTATTGTATATTATGAAAACTGTCATGGTTCTAATACACACCTGATTAAACAAAGCAAATAATTTTTACATTATTATAATATTACCAAAAAACTTGAAATAAAAACGAAAATATCTTACATAAGATTACATAAAATACTGCAATAAACTATCACTGTAAGTAAGTACCTCAATAAAATATTATCAATGAAGATTTCTCTACTTTCTAGTCTCTGTATCAAACTTAGCAAGAATAAAACCGTTAATATATTTACCACGTAAACAGGGAGTTTTTATTGTCTGGTATTACCTTTTATTGCTATCTCGCTTTAAAACTCATAGTCCCATCTCTGTCTAGAACGCTGATTGGTCGACAAAAATAAAGCTTCCAGTTAGTCCATTTGTAGAACGTTCCTGATTGGTGCTTCGTGTAAGTTCTAGATTGTTCTGGAACACTATTGGCCGAGTATATAAGGAGCCGGCAAGCGCGGCAAATCATTCAGTATTTGAAAACACAAGCAAGCGAAGAGAAGAGAAGAGTTAAGTGCGGTAATACTACCGAACAAAGTTTACGCAAAGCAAATAATTATCACAGTGTTTATTGTTCAAGTGAATTAAGAAAAGAAGATAATCAAGAAAAATGCCAGCTATTGGAATTGATCTTGGTACGACCTACTCGTGTGTTGGAGTGTGGCAGCACGGAAATGTGGAAATCATCGCGAATGACCAAGGCAACCGAACTACTCCGTCATACGTCGCGTTCACAGACACAGAGCGATTGATCGGAGATGCAGCTAAAAACCAGGTCGCCCTCAATCCCAACAACACAGTATTTGATGCCAAACGACTCATCGGCCGCAAGTTTGACGACCCGAAGATCCAACAGGATATGCAGCACTGGCCTTTCAAAGTAATTAATGACTGTGGCAAACCCAAGATACAAGTTAACTTTAAGGGAGAAAGTAAGAAGTTCGCACCGGAAGAGATTAGCAGCATGGTGTTGACAAAAATGAAGGAGACTGCAGAAGCATACCTCGGAACCTCGGTGCGAGATGCTGTTATCACTGTTCCTGCATACTTTAACGACTCACAACGACAAGCCACTAAGGACGCAGGTGCCATTGCTGGTCTAAACGTGCTAAGGATCATCAATGAGCCAACAGCTGCCGCCCTCGCCTACGGTCTTGACAAAAATCTTAAAGGCGAACGAAATGTGCTAATATTTGATCTTGGTGGCGGTACGTTTGATGTGTCCATTCTAACCATCGATGAAGGCTCTCTATTTGAGGTACGGGCGACTGCCGGTGACACACATCTGGGTGGTGAAGACTTCGACAATCGACTTGTGAACTTCCTAGCCGATGAGTTCAAGCGGAAATACAAGAAAGATATGCGAAACAACTCGCGCGCTCTCCGCAGACTGCGTACAGCGGCAGAACGCGCGAAGCGCACATTATCTTCCAGCACAGAAGCAACTATTGAAATTGATGCTCTACATGAAGGCATTGACTTTTACACTAGAGTATCTCGTGCACGTTTTGAAGAACTGAATGCTGATTTGTTCCGTGGCACCCTTGAACCCGTTGAGAAGGCGCTCAAAGATGCTAAACTAGACAAGAGCTCCATCCATGACGTCGTACTGGTCGGCGGCTCTACTCGCATCCCCAAGATCCAGAGCATGCTACAGAACTTCTTCTGTGGCAAGCAACTAAACCTATCCATCAATCCAGATGAAGCCGTCGCATATGGTGCCGCAGTGCAGGCAGCTATACTCAGCGGTGAGCAGCACTCAAAGATCCAAGACGTGCTATTGGTAGATGTGGCTCCCTTATCACTTGGTATAGAGACAGCCGGTGGCGTTATGACCAAAATCATCGAGCGCAATGCTAAGATTCCTTGCAAACAATCGCAAACGTTCACCACATACTCAGACAACCAACCAGCTGTTACCATCCAGGTATATGAAGGTGAACGAGCCATGACGAAGGACAATAACTTGCTGGGTCGCTTTGACTTGACGGGCATTCCGCCTGCACCACGAGGAGTGCCTAAGATTGACGTCACCTTTGACCTAGACGCGAATGGTATCCTGAACGTATCAGCCAAAGAAAATAGCACGGGGCGCAGCAAGAACATTGTCATCAAGAACGACAAGGGTCGTTTGTCACAGGCTGAGATTGACAGAATGTTATCTGAAGCTGAGCGATACAAGGAAGAGGATGAGCGCCAGCGACAGAGGGTCTCTGCACGAAACCAGCTGGAGTCGTACATTTTCAGCGTGAAACAGGCGCTGGATGATGCTGGCGACAAGTTGAGTGAGCAAGACAAGCAGACAGCGCGGAACGAGTGTGACGAAGCGCTGAAGTGGCTGGATAACAACACACTCGCTGAGAAGGAGGAGTACGAGCATCGGATGAAGGAGCTCCAGAGAACATGCTCGCCTATCATGAGCAAAATGCACGGCGCGGGAGCTGGACCCCAACAATACGGACAGCAACAAGCGCACTCGGGGCCTACCGTAGAAGAAGTAGATTAAGTTCCTAATTAACTCAGTGATGAGTAAAAAACACTCTGATCTCTAGTCCCACCAGTATCTCAATTGTAAATAGATTAGCTTTTAAGTTAAATTATTTAATGAATTAATGTAAGTTAAGAAAATAAATCACAATCATGTGCTGGAAAAATAAATAAAAGAAATTGAAATTAATTTTTTCGTCTTTCTTTTTGTCCTTTAGATCTTTTACTAAAGTAAAATATATTATGATACAACTTAACACAAAACACAGATTATATTCACTGCCTACGTCACTAGACAGGCACATTGCCTAAAACATTTAACTGAAATGTAGGTACCTACCCACTTTGACACAACACTAAAATAACGTGAAAACTATCATAATATTATCACTGAAGTTTTCCATTACATTCTACCTACACATACCTAAACATAAACTGGTAACTCGTAAGTCTCTACATACAACTAAAAAATAAACTACTATAGATAGGCACCATTCATATACCTATACCCTACATTATCTGTAATCACAAAGTCATAGGTAGGTACTTCAGTCATCAGTGTGAAAAATTATTTCTCAAAACAGACTCTGTCTGTGCTATTACCACAACTAGATACTGCTACTGTAAGTACCTACTTACCCAGTATACAGACTACTGAGTGCCAAGCACGCACGAATAACTATCGCATTCGTAACGTAATAGTATCGAGGGCGTTCGGCGCTCTGATTGGCCGGCTCAAGTGAACCAACCAATCAGAACGCTTAACTCGCTCGATACTGTTACGATACGAATGCGATAGTTATTCGTGCTTGGCCCTCCTGATACCTACGTAATGATATACAGTATTAGACTCAGCCCCTATTAGGCACATGAATTAATGATACATAACTGAAGAAAACCGGTTACTTACTTTTCAAATAATTGTGTTGCATTTTTACATAAACTATACGTAGGTAGTGTTAATTTATCTCAAATACACATAAAGGCAAGAACCGTTGCAAATAATATTGCATTTACATACACAATTACACACACAATTAAATTACTTATCATTAGCCCTAAATTTTTTTAAAGTCGTGAATAACTTAAATTCCCAGGAAAGATAAAGATGTATAAAGTTACAAGTAATGCCATCTAGCTTTTGCATACAGTAAGCAGTAAAATTATAAAGGCGTTCCGTGGTTAGTTCTATACATTGGATTTGATTTTTACAAAAACGTGACCATTATAATAAAATTTAGTTCAGATAGCGAATTAAGTCATTTTTAATTATTTTTTTTCATATTTTTTGGTTAACCTGAAATAAACTTAATAAAATCACTAACATGAAAGTATTTAAAAGTAAACAACACTATCTTCAAATGACAGACAGAACACATGACAGTGACAGCGAGCTGTCATTCATAGTTCAAAGTCTCCAAGACGAGTTCTTGCTTCACATTCCGAAAGCAGTAATTTATTTTAACGCAATAAACGGGGAAGTGTAACTGTGTAATGAGTGTCTGGTGCTCGTGCTCGTGATTATTTAAATGTGTGTTTATTTAAAATAAATGCTGATTTTTATTTAAAAGTTAATTCTATAAGCTTTTGTGATGGCGCCGAATTTTAGTAAAATTACCTCACGGACTGATGTGAAAATCGCGTTAGCAGCCTCTGCAGCGCTAAGTGCCTGGGTAATCAGGAATTCTTTGAAGTCAAGGTCAGTAGAGCTAATATCTTCATAGATTTTCTACCACGTACCTAATTTCTACAGATAATAGAATTTAATCACAAATTATTAGGAAACATAGTTTATTACTATGTTTATTAGCTTATAATGACTCCACATGATACTTTTAATTGCTACTGAACTGGTTACTTCTAGAAACAAAAGAAAGTTAAATGTAGCAAGTTGTTTGGAAAATTTTATTCTTATTTGCATCTTAAAGAGAATATACCCAATGGAAAATTACCAAACCAATTTTTAAGAACTAGCCTGCTCAAATAATGTATTTCTGTGTTAAAATTTAAAATCAAGTGAATGACTCAATAATAACTGAACAGTATTTATTATCTACATAATTATTGTATGAGAATTTTTTAATGAGAAATATATCAATCAATATATCATAAAAGTTAATCCAATTACATTTTCCAACACAAAACTTCTAGGTATTCAACATCCAAAGCACAAACTTTTAAGTACGATTTAAAATCTCATTTGATATTTTTTTTTTTCAGTAAACATAAAAATGTCAAATCAAGCCGTCTCTCACCTGAAGAACAGATACAATACATGATAAAAGAGAAAAATAAAAAGAGTCCAAAGGCCCAAGTTGATGCACGGTTCTTGGCTGAACTGAGTGCACTATGGAAGATCATGATGCCATCTTTATGGTGCAAGGAGAGTGGGTTCATGGTACTGGTTGCTCTTTCTCTGATATCAAGGTCTATGTGTGATCTATGGCTTATACAGCACACTACACTTGTTGAGGGGTAAGTTACCACAGATAACTCAATATTTTGTTATAGGTATATTTAACCCAACTAACAGGATGTTGTAAATAATGTAAGTTACTAAAGTACTGCTGAATCCTTTCGAAATGAGGAAAGTTCCTTAGGAAAACTACATTTGACTTAAGATACATAACTGAATATTTTTAATTTATGCATTGATGAATGATGACATACATGCTTAATATTTAGGTTAATTCCACAAAGATAATTAAGAAATAAAAAAGGAAAAAAAAGTTTGTTTTGTATCTATGCTTTAAATATTTTTTCAACCTTTATTCAACGATGTAACATAAGTAATATTGAAAACTAAATTGAATAACACCAGGAAGGAACGGACAGTAGCCGAAATTAGAATTTCTAATTTTCAATAGCATTAAGGTACTATACAATGAATAAATTGCTAAGTTCCTAAAATGTAGACACTTATTTGACCATTAATATACAATAACAATACCATACAGATAATAAATAACTATTTCTTTTAATAAGACATTTTAATCACATTATCCGTAAAAATATGAATACATTCAATGATATGATGAATTGTAACACATATAAATAATAAATTCATTATAAATTATTAAATTATATATTCATACCTTACACAAAAAATGTTTGGCTTTGTGTGTCATAATAGCATAATTAAATAATAATAAATAACAATTTAAAACAATAGAATAAGAGGACATGACAGTTACTATACTCGGAATTTTAATTCGATTCCAGATTTGACAATTTCAGTGTTGCAACGTTATGACAAGTACTAAATAGTGACGTTGCGAAATTATTCGATATGGAAATGGAATATTTCTGGATCGATTCCTCTCGTTTATAATTTTACTCTCGTAAACTAAGTATATCAGGAAATTAAATATTTCTGAACCGATAATTTAGTTTTGACGATTAATTAACGATCTGAGAATTTTATTTTATAATTGTGTGTGAAATAAATAAAAAATTGTAATCATGAAGGAACATGACAAATAAAACAGATAGATGTATTATAGTAATAATTGATTTTATAAATTGTCGCCGTCATCGCTATCGCTATCCTGTCACTTTCTGTAACATTTATTATAAAACACACACACTGATTGTTTATCGATTTTTGTGTTCATCACTACACTTTTATATGTGGTATCATTATTTCACAAAATGACAGTAGCTATTGTCAAATCTGGAATCTAATTAAAATTCTGACTATAGT